TCTAATAAGTTGCTAGGTTTTTTTTTTTTTTTAACAAATGTCAGATTATGAAAAGTTTCCTCAATTATTGGGGAAAAAACCCCACCCCCACTTATAAAACATTTAAATTGCTAAATCTGTTTCCTGCCAAGTTCATCCCCTTCTCCTCTCTTCCTCCCTCCCCGCCTTCACCTTTCTCTTCTGTGACTGGCACCCAAGCTCTGCTTAAAGTGTGCCAGAAAAAAGCCTGCATTTCAAATGTATATGAGAACGTGCGTCTCAGAATGATGGACTGGGTCACAACGCCTCCTGGGCTGCCTTGAGAGATCTCTGCCACCTGTAGAGCAGTGTTTCTCAACCTTGACAAACACTACTGTAGAGGTAGAGGAACCCCCATCCGATGACACAGTTTTCATCACTTCTGCCCAGGAAATAGTGGATTTCACTGCAGTGTCTATTTCGACAGTGCCCTTACTTTACAAAATACTTCTCAGGAATGTCCCACAATGGAACATTCCAAGTGTACTGAATTTTCCCCAAAGCATTTCTGCACTCTGAATTTGCAGCACCTGGTTGGACGATACCAAGAGAGCTGTAACAAAGACAAAAAATGCAGAAGGCTAAAACCAAACTTTGTAAACCAGGTTGGAGTTTCCGTTTAGCTTTACCAGGACATTTTCCCAGACTTGAAAGAAAGTAGCTAGGATGTTAACACAGAGCTTTGGGAAGGTGAGGAGCAGGAACTGCAACAAAGGGCTGTACAATGTCAGAGAGATGTAAATATACAGCTAGTCCTTGACTTACGTTGCTAAGCAAGACAGTTGTGAGTTTTGCCTCATTTTATGACCTTTCTTGCCACAGTTGTTAAGTGAATCACTGCAGTTGTTACATTATGTCTGAAGGTCGCAAAAGGTGATCACATGACCCCAGGACACTGCAACCGTCATAACTTCGAGTCAGTTGCCAAGCATCCAAATTTTAATCACCTGACCATAGAGACGCTGCAGCAGTCTTAAGTGTAAAAAATAGTAATAAGCAGTGCTTTTTTTCGTCATAGAACGCATGGAACGGCGTTCCGGCACCTTTTTTTGAACAGAAGAACCGGTTCCTTCTAAGCTGCCAGCGCGAGTACGGTAAAGCTCTGGCTTGGTGAAAGGAAGCTGCCCGGGGAAATTGGGGGCATCGAAGATCGACCTGGAAACACTTCCACGGCCCTGAAAGCAGACCCTCTTCTCTGCCTTGGTTCATGAGGCTCCCCCTACCGCCTGTCCTCACCTCCGTGTTGGCCACCAGGGACCAGGACTGACTCCTGGAGCGAATCTCTTCGAGAGACCAGGTGTGCTCCCAAAGCAGCAGCACAGCTGCTGCCTTGGTCACTCTGGCTCCGGAGGAAGCCTCTATGTCATCAGAGGTGGAGGAGGACGAGGTAGTAGAAGACATGCCAGCTCCGAACAAGCGCCCTCTCAAGAGCTGCAGCAATGGCGTCCGTCAGCTGACGCTGCTCACATGATCTGCACCTCAGAAGCTCCCTAAAGCGGTTTCTTCTCCTCATCCAACCCCCCCCCCCGCTCCATAAAGGGCTTTTGACTGGAGCCAGAGCTGTGCGTGAGTTTTGGCACCTTTTTTTTTTTTTACCAAAACACTGGTAATAAGTCACTCTTTTCAGTGCTGTTGTAACTTCAATCAGTCCCTAAAAGATTGGTTGTAAGTTGAGCACTACCTGTATATAACATTTCAGAGATTTGAAGTCTGACAGTTAATCACCCATGAGTTAGTCCAGATAGTTTTTCTTTTCATGAAGCAAAAATAAGCTAAACCCTCAGCAGGCTACAATTATTGGCAAAATAATTTTGTCATTTACATATGGTTAGATATCTGTAATATCTGACTATTACTCCCCTTTGACTTAGGTTGGTAGGGCTGTGCTGATAACTCAGGACTAACCTAAGGAACAGGTCTAGGTAAATCCAACCCAGGTAGATTTCTGAGCAGATGACTTCTGCAAGTTCTTCCAAGGCCCTTAAATGTAACTGGTCTGCTCTGGAAGACTGAACTTAGTTAAGAATTCCTCAGCTATCTCTGTACATGTCTTGGGTTGCTGCTTTCTCCTGTTGTCAGTTTTTCTGCTTAGTTCATTTGAACACATTACCACTCTGTGAGTTAGATTGAAGTAATATAGGAATTGAGAAGGTTTGTCTTTTTACCTTTATTTATTCTCCCATTTTCTCCCAGTGGGAGACTTAACCCTTCCTTTGACTTTTTTTCTGTTGATGAAACCAAAGAGCCCCTTGTATTGTTTTTATCTTCTCTTGAAAACATAAGACCCCTTTTAATCTTATTAGCTTTCTTTCTATAACCATGTGCTCTTTGCTAGTATACCTCCTTAGTGATTATACTGATTTTATCATGTTCTACTTCTGTCCTTTTTAACTCTTAGCACAGGTGAAAGTTCCCTATGGATTCACAATGATTTTCTAAGCTGCCCCTCTCCCACCTTTTTTCCCCATGGAATGAGGTTCAGTTGTACTTCATTTAAATTGAGAATATCTGTTCAGAAGATTCCATTTGGTACTTCTCTGGTTTTCAGCTAGCTCTTCTCCATTGGTTGAGATCAGATCTAGGAGAGATGATCCTCTTATCTCTTTTTCAGCTTTTTAGAAAATAAAACAATAAGACCATTTTTGGAGCTTTGTGGTCTTGGCCATGACAGTCATCCATCCCATGTCTGTGTAGTTAAAATTTCCATTATTAGTAAGTTTTCTCTCTGAAAATTAATGTCCAGAAGAATATTATCCAGATACTCTATCTGTTTCAGTTGTGTATAATACAACCTCATAGTAACACATTTGTTGTTCCCTTCCATTCCGTTCTTCCTAAATATTTCTGATTGGTTGTTCACGCTCAGATTTCTGGATCTCAGAGCATGGGTACACCTCCTTCAAATGTGACATTCTCTCTTTGTGTGTGGCCTGTTCCTTTCAAATAAATTGTACTCTTCAATTCTTGCATTCCATTTATGAGTTTCCTCTCTCTATGTTTCACCATTGCCCACTAAATCATATTCATCTTCCTGCATTAAGACTTCTAGTTCTCCCCATTTGTTCTCTACTTGTGAAATAGAAGATTGTTTCCCTAAGGAAAGTTTGCCCTGAGCTATTTGGATTCAGAATAAATACATTTTAAATACTTTTAATAGCTTGAGACTGATGAGGCTTCTGCTCTATTAAGCTTTCTTTCAAGATTTCCTATATGGGCCATCCAGAAACCCTTACAAGAAGAAATATATAGCAATAATACATTTCATGTTTGTTGTTTCCTGAGATTGTTAACTGCAGTAAATTTGGCTTATACCAAACTTTCAACCCGAAAAGGCTTTTTTTGGATCTGTTAGTTGGAATCAGATCTAGGAGAGGTGATCCTCTTCTCTCCTCTTCAGCTTTTTGGGAAAATGAAACAGTGTGACCATTTGAGCTTTGCAGTCTTAGCTATGAGGGTTGGCCAACAGAACATCTAGTCCAGATCCTGTCATTAAGAGCAGCCAACCAGATGCATTTAGGAAGCTCATAAATACAAACAGTCTTTAGTGAGTGGTATTTACAATATGCTGCCTGTGTTTCCAAAGATTTAAATGCCATCAAGTAGCCACTGATTATGCACAACCAGTGGCCGAGTGCTTGTGTGCACGTAGCTTCATTTGCTCGAGCAGCAGGCACACGCGCCTGCCTCTCACGTTGCTCACCCATCACTTCTGTGACCCCGTTCCGAACGGGCCACAGCCCGGAGGTTGGATAACCCTGGCTTAGAGGTAAGCACATCCTAAATAAAAATACTGTTTATAATACTTGTACAAGTTGTAGTTCACAGTATCTAGGCACATTATGTTGTTTGGTTCTTACATAAAGGCCTTTCATGGGTAGTGACCATTGAATCCAACCTCTGCTCAAAGCAAAAATCCAAGTTAGAGCAATTCAAGACAATGGCAATATGCTTGGACATATCCAATGAGTGAGAGCCACCATCACTCTAGGTCAATGTTTCTCTACCTCAGCAACTTTAAAATGTGTATACTTCAACTCCCACAATTCCTCAGCCAGTTGAAGTCCACACACCTTAAAGTTGCTGAGGTTGAGAAACACGGATCGAAGTAATCGATCCCACTCCCTGTAACTTAAATCTGTTATTCCATATCCAGCACTCTGAAATATGAAAGAAGAGATCCTGGCCTTCTCCTTGTGATGTCCTTTCAGGCATATTGAGGAACATATTACATTTCTTTCCAAACCTCATTTCTCTCAGCTAAACCCTCCCTTGCCATTTCAGTCTCTCCTCCTAGGGATTGGTTTTTACTCCCACATTATCACTTGACAGCATGGATGTGGTTTGCCCTTGCTTATATCCAGGGGATTCTTTTCAATTTTCCAGGGCAATCAGCAGCTCTGGGAGTCCCAGGCAATTCCCCCATTCAAGGACAAGCCTTGTTCAGTTTCCAGAAAGTGCAGAGCTGACTAGGTCTGCCCTTGTGGAGACTCTCCAGATTAGTGTCTCTGAACTTTAGCAGCTTTAAGATGTGTGGACTTCAACTCCCAGAATACTTACCCAGCATGCTTGAAGTCCACGTAACAGTTGCTGAGGTTGAGAAACACTGATCTAGATAGAAGCTAATAAAGGCACATGCACCAAATTGCCTTACGGTGCACCTTGTCTGATAGTATTTTGTAGTTCTAGCATGTGTGAAGCTTCTGTAGTTTTGATTTATCAGTATCTTGGGATGCTGTTCTTCTGTAACAACAACCTAATTAGTTATTAATTTAAAACTCAAGTGTTAAAAAGATGCCGACAGGCTAGGCTTTGGTGGGATCCTGCCAAAAGAAAGATATTTTTTCCATGATGCTACAGTATGGGTTTTGGGGTGATAGCACCAATGAAGGTGGTGGCATCTGTTTGTTTGTATTTAATTCTGAGGAGTGGGGACTAGTAATAATGGAGGAAAAGATGCATTTTCTTGTTATCTGTGTTTGCAGGCTTTCTGGCTCGCAGGCGGCAGGAGTCTTTGCTGTGGGGATGTTTTCGTTTTCCCGTCTAACGTGGCAATGGTCTATCACAGCGGAGGTTTTCAGCTTAAACAATCTGTTTGTGGGGCTGCTGATGGCGCTTTCTGTGCAATTCGAGGAAGCAACAACTGCAAAAGAGAGATCAAAGGTAGCCTACTTAGGATCAAAAGGCTTCAGGAATGGTTTCCCTTCCCCTTAAGCCTCTGGGAACTAGGACCAAACTACATAGGGTGGCTTAAGCCAATTGTTCCTCATGCTTGGATTCTCTGAATATATCGGGGTTGTAACTTGCCAGATACTGGCTGGGAATTGGAAAAGTTGTAGCTTTCAGTGGCAGCAGCAACAGTTCAAGATCTTGGCCTGAAGTCCTTTCCCTTCACTGATCTTGTTAAACGGAGGTATGTGGGCCTCTTTGTATGAAAAGTGAGCGTACGGTCCTGCCACTGGTGTGAGCCAAAGTAATTTTTCAAGTTGAGCCTGGGTGTAATCAGGAACTCTCTCTTTGCTACAGCTGTACTTCCTGAAGTCTTCCTTAATGTATCCTTTTTTTCTTTCTTTTTTTCCTGATATGCAGAAGGGAGCCCAGCTTGGGGGTGGGGGAAGAATGTTCACCTAGGTCTAGGACAAGATAGGCAACACATAATAATAATAATAGTAAAGTTGGAAGGGACCTTGGAGGTCATCTAGTCCAACCCCCTGCTCAGGCAGGAAATCCTATACCATTTCGGACAAATGGCTGTCCAGTCTCTTCTTAAAAACCTCCAGTGTTGGAGCATTTGCTGCTTCTGGAGGCAGGTTGTTCCACTGGTTAATTGTTCTAACTGTCAGGAAGTTTCTCCTTAGTTCTAGGTTGTTTCTCTCCTTGCTTAGTTTCCACCCGTTGCTTCTTGTCCTGCCTTCAGGTGCCTTGGAAAATAGCTTGACTCCCTCTTCTTTGTGGCAGCCCCTGAGATACATGGCAGTTACAGTTCTCCTTCCCAAATACTGTGTGCAACCTCTGGTCACCTAGGATAATTTCTGGTTGTTTACTAATACCACCCTTGAATTTTCTCATAATCCCAATCAAGTATTTACCAACATAATCCCAATCAAGTACTGGTGTATCTTTTATGAGACCAGCCTAGGTC